TATACGCGGGCCCGCAAAGGGGGTGATCGGACACCCTGGCCTCTCCTCCTCCTCCTCGCTCCCGTTCCTGGCCGCAGAGGGGACGATCGCACATCCCTTGCGGGCCAGGCGCTACTCCTGACCTCCTAGCACTCCTCCCCAGTCCCCTGGTGTCGAGTTGGGCTCGGCGACGGCTCGACGCGTCATTCTCGGTCACGTGCTTCCCACGTGTGCGTTCCTCCTACTGGGGCGCATGTTCCCCGTCGTCACGTGCTGCGTGTCACGGGCCCACAATGGCCCGACACCAGCGCCAGAGCGGACGGGCCGGGTCTTATCCGTGACACCCTTATCCCTAATAAGGGTGGACCTCGGAGCCGAACACTTATTAAGGCCCTTATCTATAACACTGCATTGTAAAGTCCAAGGCAAATTTTTCGCTAAGTCCAGTATGTAGAGGGTGAATAAAAGTGAATAATATGACATGGTCCGTCTAGACAAAGTTTCCCAGTGTCACACGATGTGATATATGACATAGTGTTCTAAAAAGGAACTTTTGTCAATAGATACTGAAGTTGGTAGTTTTAGTTCCTATGTGATGTGGTTATATACTGTAGCATAGAGGTATACACACGGCAAATTCCCAAAAGTAGAAATTTTTGCCATTTAACAGTGCAATCCTCCAAGGATGTCACAAATTGTCACAAGACCAAGGTTGTATTTATCATCTATACAAACAACTCCCATTTAGTAACTTATAGTGGCAGGTCTTTCTATATCATCTCATACCTTTGAAATATACTGTTATACCATTTGTCGGTGGGTTTTTCTGTTCTAAGTTTGACCAAGCACAATGATGTCCTGATATCTGGGTGAGGAATGCATGCATAACCATGATCTAAGTTGTGTTACAGTTAGTTGGACATCTATTATAGCAGTACAGCCTGGTACGGCCTCCGTCTCATAAGCAACCATACCATACACCGGGACATAATACCCCAGTACAAGTACGGTTACGGTGGCACCATACCATAACTGTACACCGTATCATATGGTCTGGTGCCAATCCCTATCACAGATTGCTGCAAGCTGTTGTTATACTGCAACTCCCTATTATATGGAGCCTACCGTGAGGGGCTCACTTGGACAAATAAAGGGGAAGAGCCAATATCCAGGTAATATTAGAACAATTCCGATCAGCTATCGGGCAATATAGCAGATCCACAAATATTGCAGTCACAAGCAAAACTGCAAATAAATTCATTTAATTTCCAACAAATTGGAAACCTGGCAAATGGAGATATTCACATCAGGGCCCAACTCAGTGCCCTAAATTCCTGATTAATCAAAGGCCGTGATCATGGAGCATGTGATGTCAAAATTACCTTATTTGGTCATTCAGGCATCAGATCTGCAACACTGATTTGTTGGAAATTGGGTGCCCATTTTTGGCACCTGATTTCTCATAAAAAAAGTCCAGCTCCCAGATGCCATTTTTTGCACAAAACCTGATGTGATTCAACCTTCTGATGATTAAGTTTCCACTACAACTGCAACAAGGGCAACTCCACTTGTGCCAGACTCATCCTCTCTGGACAAATTGCCAATAGACCAAGATTGTCCATCATATACAGCATGCTCAACCACATTGGCACTATTTGGTTGGGCCCTGGGGCCCAGGCTTCCCGGAGGATCACATGCCAGTTTGAAACCAGGTCAGTTGGCTGCTGCTTTCAAAACTAATATATGTTTCGAAACCAGTTTCAAAACCACACTTTGTGGATATCTTTTTCCAGACACATTGCTATATGCACTGGCACATGCACCACTGTGTCTGAAAATCCTATCACATACACAGTGGCTGGTTTAATACTGGCAGGGGGCACTAGACCTCGAAGGAGAGGAACAGATTTTTGGTGCCGGTTATGTTGCGTGGATGGACGGGCAGAGGCTCAGCTGACTCACGCTACAAGGTGGCTCGTGAGCGAGTAGAGTTTTACACCGCGGGATTCCAACGGTGCTTCAACTCTACTGCCTAAATGCCCACGTCATTCTCAGCACTCTGTTGGTTTCAAGCTCTCCATCGACGATTCGAACGGGACCCACGGAGAAGAGAAGGAAATGTGTATCGATGGTATGGACTAGTGAAAGACGAGGGAAGGGATGTGATTGAACCTGGTTGGTGTAAGGGCAACCCTGGAGACTCCGACGAAAGCCTAGCAGGGGAGGATCCAAAGCGTGAATAAAAGCTACGGAAATACACAGAAGGACCGATCTAGCAGGGGAGGATCCAAAGAGAAGAAACTCTAAGGGTCCGCCTGCTAGGGCGCCAACTATATACTGGTCGTCCGTAACTGCCGACGTAGAGCGCAGAAGGCCTGAGCGGTGTCGCAGGCTCTGTCCCAAGGTGATCGTTGGGAGGGTCTTGACGGATCGGTGATTGTGCGGGCGAAGGAGGCTGTGGACGATGGTCGGGGTGGGTCGGAGCGTCCGAGGGGGCGCCGGTTGGATGCGCCTCGGATGCGTTCGGAGGGTCCGAAGGAGGCCGAAGCCGGGGGTTCCCCTGACATCACCCCTCGAAGGGGTCGTCCTGAGCGGGCTCGAGCTTAACAACGGGGAAGACGGGGTGGAGCTTGGAGTAACCCGGGGGGAGGTCGAGCTTGTAGGCACCTTTGCTAACCTCTGCAAGCACCTTGAACGGTCCGAGGCGCTTGTGGGAGAACTTCTCGGAGGGCCGAGTCGTTCTGATGTCAGAAGCGTCCAGCCAAACCTTATCACCAACTTGAATATTCGGAGCGTCCGAACGGTTCCGATCGTAGTACCGTTTATACTCGTCTTTGGCTTTAACGAGTGCGGCCTTTGCCTCGGAGACGCCGTTAGCTATCCGATCGCGAAACTTCGTTTACTGACTCCAACTCTGAGCGGGCGCCGGGCTCGAAACCCGTTCGGGGGAGCCGACCAGTGTCCGTCATAAAGGGTACCTGTTGAGTGGAGGAGTGAACGTGGTTGTTATAGGCAAACTCAGTGGCAGGGATAAGCTCGTCCCAGTCGTCTTGTTGGTAGTTGGAGAAGATCCAGATGTACTGCTCGAGCTCTTGGTCAACGCATTTGGTTTGTCCGTCGGTTTGCGGGTGGTAGGCCGTAGAGGTAGCCGGCTTGACGCCAATTAAACGCCAGAGTTTGCGCGTGAAGTCAGTGATGAACTGCGAGCCACGGTCCGAAATGTACTTCTCGGGGGTTCCCTGGTGCCTCCAGACATTCCGATAGTACAACCGGGTGGCTCCGACCGCGTCTATTATCGTATGGCACTCAGTGAAGTGAGCGCGTTTGCCAAGAGTGTCAACAACTACCATGACCGCGTCGTACCCATGAGCCTCGGGGAGCTCGGACGATGAAGTCCACCGTGACGGTGTGCCAGCATTCGGGGGGGACTTCGGTCGGGTGTAGCTCTCCGTGCAGGAGCCTTCGGAGGGCCTTCATGCGGCAGTACAAGTCGCAGGTTGCGACATAGCGTCCGATATGGCGGGACATCTGTGGCCACCAGTAGTTGCGCGAAACCAGCTCTAGGGTTTTGAACCGCCCGGCATGTCCGGCGACTCGCGTGTCGTGGCAGAGCTCGATGATGCGCCTCCTTAGGTCCTTGTCTTTGGGGACTACGACCTTGCCGCGGAAGTACAAGAGATTGCCCGAGATGGCCCACTCGTCCGAACGTGATGAGCGGGGGCCCCGAACTTGACCTCGGACCTTCAAGAGTTGCCGGGCCGCAAGCGCGACAGGCTCCTCTAGGTCAGGCTCACCGGATAGCGCTTCCTTGATGTCGCGGACAAGTTCAGAGCCAGGCCCAGAGACAGTGACGGCCTCAAGCGCGCGAACGTGGAAAAGCTCAGGGCGCAAGAGGGTGACGTCCGAGTTGTCTTCGGAGATGCTGTGGTTAGGCCGGGCGGGAGAGAGCATCGGGGCGGCCCATCTGGCAACCTGGGACGTGGTGCAGCGTAAAGTCAAACCTAGAAAGGTACAACGACCATCGGGCTTGCCGACGGTTAAGGTGCTGTGCCTTTCGGAAATACTCCAAATTCTCATGGTCAGTCCAGATCTCGACCGGATGCGCGGCGCCCTCAAGGAAATGCCGATACTCCTCGAGTGCGCGGATGATCGCGAGCATCTCCTTGTCGTGAATTTCGTAGTTGCACTGGACATCATTTAAGCTTTTTGGAATAGAACGCTACAGGGTGCCCCTTCCCGTCCGGGGCGGATTGTTGTGAAAGAACCGCCCCTGTCACGTAATCTGAGCTGTCTGCTTCAAGTTGGAAAGACTGAGAGTCATCCGGGATCGCTAAGACAGGCTCTGAGACAACCGCGTCTTTGATAGTTTGAAAGGCGGCGGCTTCGGCGTCTCCCCAGGCCCATATTTGGTCTTTCTTGGTGAGTGCAAAGAGAGGCGGCGCAAGGGCCAAGAAATCCCGAATGAACCTGCGGTAGAAATTAGCAAACCCCAGAAACTGCTGGACGTCCTTCTTGTTTTTGGGCGGAGGTCATGCGGAGACTCCGGCGAGCTTAACGGGATCCATTTCGACGTGGTTGTGAGAGATGATAACCCTCAGGTACTTGATCGACGATTTCTCAAAGTCGCACTTCTCCTTGACGATTTCTCGAAGTCGCACTTCTCCTTGCGAAGCACCTGCTGCAGCTCATTTTATGCGCAACACTTGGGCTGTTGCTCAAAAGTGTTTTGCGCAAAATGTCGGGGGTTTGGGGATCAATCCCCGGAGCGCCGGCAGGGGTCAGGAAACACTCCGAACATCATCAGAAGTTGATCTCATTGCGGCCCGCGTCTAGATCAGTCTCGGGGACACGGCAACAGGGCCGGGGCAAGTTAATCAAGCAATTTCTGAGACAAATAATGCAAATAATCATTGTAACACTTATATAATTACATTTCATCATCGTCACTCGCATTACCATGCTCGTCCTCATCATCTGCGTCAACAATGTCCCCGTCGTCGTCGTAAGATAGGTAGACCATGTTAACCACTCTTGCGCCCCGCTTTCCTCGTGCCAACTTCGGACTTGTTCGGACAGTCTCCGCCCCGGGACGCGAGATTCCGGAACATATCTGCTTGTTTCGTCGCATACGCAATCATGCCCTCCGCGACCTCCCCTCCCAGTCCACTTATGTCGACCTTCTTCCCGCGAGTAAGCCAAGCCTGTTCCTCAGCGCCAAAGGAGAGCGGCAGCCTTTCCCATTCTGCAGCCAATATCCTGACTTCTTCCTTCCAACGACGAGTTCGCGCATAGGACTTGGCCCATTCGATGCGCAGAGCTGAAATTAGCAATTAGTGCTTAAAACGGAATTTGTGCCACGCCACACACCTTCTTCAACTCCTTCGGTAGAATTGTGGACATTGCTCCAGATCCATGATACCTGACGCCGACTTTCTCCGTGTTTGAACAGAGCATTGGCTTCCCGAGCCGCATGTTGTCGATCTGACCGTGTGGCAGGTAGTTGAGCCTCTGTTTCGTCTTCTTCCGCATCGCTAGTCTCCATAGGTACAGGAGCCCTTGGCAGAGCAACAAGCCCAGCTCGCGCTAGAGCCAAGTCTTGGGAGCGTTCATTCCGTTCTGCCCTTTCGCGTTTCCGCTCTGCTCGCGACACCTCCTCGGCATCCTCCATACATCTGATATCCTTCTTCTCGAGCTTCCGCCACGAGATCAAGTTGTCGTCTTCATCAAGCGCTACCAATGCTCGCCAAGCGTGCTGGTATTTTTCGGAATATAGCAAGATTTTCCGCTCATTCTGGTCTACCAAGGATCGTGAGCGCGTATTCATCGCTTGCGCGGCGCGAGTTGTTCTTCTTGTAAGTCAAAAGTCGTGATTTAACATGTAGTTGAAGTTGCAGGCTCGTTAACGACGAGCGACACTGAGCATCTCGCAAAGCCCGCTCGATGGCGACCAGTCCGTCTCGACAGCCACCATTATTGCGCTCGACGGGAGTAAGGGCGGATGGGGGAATGAGGGGCACGCGCTCTGCTAGGGTATCTTGAGGCAAGTGAAGAGCTTCCAGACGCCGGAGAGCAGCAGGCATATATGTCCCTTGGAGAGACCGCAAATGCTTGATGGTACGATTTAGCTTGCGCCTTTGTCGACGAAGGCTAACTCCAGTTGAGGAGCGTTTCTTGCCGACCTCGACCAGTCCCCGGATGCGACGCCTGTCAATAACATGAGATATATATAACACCAGTCAAAAAAAACGTACTGGTCGCCGAACATGATATAGAGACACCTTATTAACAACTTGCTTAATTGGCCGACTCTTGAGGACAGGAGATAATTACCGATCTTCGGGAGGCGCATTCTCCCATCCGTCGGGCAAGTTAACTCCAGGCCGTGGACAGGCCGGACAACGAGTGGCAAGTTCTCCTGGTGCAGTCCCCAAGACACCGAAGCGGTCGTGACCACGGCCCTTTCGTTTGAGCAACAGAAGATGACGGTATTGGCGGGAGATTCGCATGAAAACCGAGTATCGATCAGGGGGCTTGATACCGGTCCCGTCGGTCCAAGACTTGAGTGCAGAGTAGAAGTCGTATATCGTTGTTTTCCCATGCAAGGAAAGATAATGAAATTTGTCCAAGCAGGAAAAGGTAGCAGCAGTTCGCGGAAACTCCATCGTCGCTGGGTACCAGCCGGCCTTCAACAGTTGAACGTGATGGGCATCGTGACCCATGCAGCCACAGAAGTCTATGGTAACTTCGTGTATCCCATTAGCCGCTAAGACGACGAAGTCGCTTCGTCCTGGGATTGGGCGCTCGCAGATTTCATGGGGTGGATGGGCGAGTTGGACTCGTAGGCCAATGGAACCAAGAGTTGTCCTCGTAAAGTATACGCCGGTCCATTTCTGTGACAATCTAGTCAGTAGAGTATTCGAGATTCAATTCACTACTCACCTCGATAAAGTGTAGGGGGTTAGCACGATGAGCGGCTACGCAACAGCCTTGACACCACATAGCACCACCGAAACAAGAAGAACAGCGATATATAGCGGCGCGGGTGCTGTCCCCACACGCCGCGCATATCTCTCCTTCCTTGCCTCTTCCGTCGCGCCATAGAAGAGAATGGAGAAATGGGTCCCGAAATTGTCGCATCCATAGGTCCATTGCGGGGTCCTGAGGCACTATTAGAGTGGCTAGAGCATAAATGAGGGAATATACATACAGCAGGCTGGCTATGTCGATTGGGGTTGGTCTCCATCTCGTTTTTGTCTTCCTCGGCTTCCAAACCCATCTCGTATCTCTCTGGGTCCTTGGTGGGCATGAGATTGACAGTTGCCTGTTGACGGTGCAGATGTTCAAGGCGCGCTCGTTTGACTGGTGAAGGAGGCTCGATGACAATAGTCTCGGTATTGAAACGTCGATCGTCGGTGGTGACACGATGTAGCGAGGTGGTCAAGGGCGCGTCTGGTGGAGCGCCAATGAGCTCCTCCACTGGCATGATGTGGTGCCGAACCAGCACAGGGGCGCCCGTTGTGCGACGTTTGCGGCTTTTTTGAGACGATGAGGACATGGGCAGGCAAAGGTGATGTGACAGCAAAGTGACCAAACAATCAAGCCATCAAATCATCGATCCGTGATGGAAATCAGACGAGCTTCGGCCGATAGGACTCTAGCGAGCAAGAAGTCAGAAGTAGATGATAAATAGCAGCTACCACAAAAGAAACAGCTACTAGCTACTGGTTGTCAAGCTTCATGCTTCATGTCACACCGCCGGCGTAACCACACCAGCCCGCTCTATCCAGACATATCTAAGGACAAGGCAAGGGTGCGGAACGAAGGGCCAAACCCTAATACCCAGGCTACAGAAAAGCCAGAGTTCGAAGGCGGAAACAGCGGCGCGCAGCCCACCCCAAATGCACTTTGAGCATTTCCTTATATTCTGATTGTGCCTGGTGCCCCTTCACCACTGGCAGCATGGCAGCTTCTCCGTCGATGTCGATGTCGCTCTGGAGGACGACTAAGAGAGCCCAAGATTTCGTAGCTGACTCCAATTCCCTCTGGAATTGCTGGAGAGAGTCCTTTTGAGACCAGTTGCAAGCCCAGTGCCCGTATTCCTCCTCCAGTTCCTCCTCTCCCCGAACTTGGTAACCATGGATAGCGTTAACCAGTTGCAAGATATTGTCGAATGGTCGCGGCGGCGCATTTCGGAAGTCGCAGAGATCGTATGGTGGAGTTAATTGATAAGGGAAGAGCCCAGTTATGTTGCCATTCCTTCCCCGGCAAAACCATTCGTCGTCGTCGTCGGGTAAGGTGAAAGTAGCCTGCCGCACCAGCTCGCTGGGCAAAGGTGGTAAATCTTCCAGAGTTAACGGTTTTTGCTTCCTTCTTTGCTTTTTTCGGCGTTGATATTCTGCTCGTACACTGGATGCTCTGAACCACAGGGCAGTCAGCGAATGATACTAAGATGCGCCAGAGGAGGTACATACCTGGCGCCATTCTCATATTTTCTGCGAGATTCTCGCACCGCCGCGCCGCCGCTCATCCTCCGTTTGGTATTTCAGTGGTTGTGGCATTGGGCTACAGTGGTGAAAGATGTGCAGTAAGGGTTGAGATGGATGCAGAAGGACAAGAGGTGTGATGAGCTTCGTGAGCTTCGTGACATCATTGATCTGTAGCTCTCGGAATAAAAGATTCGTCTAAGAAATAGGTTGTACATAGTCTTGCGGTCCACTGAATATAGCCTGAGAGTCCTGTTGCATGCCCGTTCCTAATAGTGTGCACTTACCAAGATGTCTAGTACCTATTCGTTTACTACAGTTGACTGTAAATTCCGTCTTTAACCAGGGTTCAGTACTGCCGACTGTTTCATTAGCCTACATTTAGGTCAGTCTATCAACACCCATCGACATCATTCCCCGTGAAAAAAAACTGAACGAGGCAAACCGGGCATCGAAACTGTCTTCAACAGTACATTTATTTCCATCATAGTCCTATTGGCGATTTAATGACAGGCCGTTTTGTTTTTCCGAGATCTTCAGTCACGCGTTACTAACCGAGTAACGCAAGATGACAGAAGAAGAGCTACAGAGTCATTTCTTGGTTCAGCCAGCGTTATACCAAGAATTCACAACCAGGTACATTGACAAGACAGTAAAACAGGCTCTGATATGTTAAACTACTTCCAAAATCTTGATTTGACGCTCGATTTCGCCAGATTTACGAGGCATCGCGCGCTCAACCTGCCAAAGTGCCCACCACGCCTTACCGGCCTTTGTACGCTGGTCAATGGCCCGATTATACGCCTTTCGCTGCTCTGCTGCCTGCCCTGATCCAGTATCTTCCAACCCCAACCCGTTGCAGCGAGCAACGCTGGCCTCGTATGCGCGCAAAAGTTGTTGGTGGTATCGTGCGCTAACAGTTTGCTCCTGCTCTTCGTATCCAAATGCGTCGGCGAGCAGGCGGACTTGATCGATGGAAAGCATCAAACTCTGCAGTTCTTCCTGCAGGCGAGCGCGGAGGGCGGTGTCCTTCTCGATTTGTTGTGTACGAAGACGGCCTTTTTCTAGCAAAGCGTAAGGTACAGTTCGCAGCTGAGGTTGACAACTTACCAGTATTTGAGAGAAACCTGGGAGGCGGACGCGTGTAGGGCTTCGTTGTCGACTTGAGTGTTGATGCCGGCTTCTCCACTACGGGATAGAATCAGCCTTGTATTAGTATGCTTGTATGGCCGGCGACATCTCACCAGAATGAGCAGGCTTTTCTGGTAGAGTGAATTCGATGGGGGCAATTGTTTTGGAAGGAGGCTTCGATGGGGAGGTTTCAAGAATCGCTGAGGAGACGTCAGATGCGTCGTGGCGCACAAGCCAAGTATTACAGACACAGGTTTGCGAGGAGTTGAGGGCGCTGAGTTATGAACGTCTTTGGCGTCCATGGCAGAGAGGCGGGGGAGAAGGGCAAGAAGCAGGGTGCCGAATAGTAAGAGCTCGACCGCTCCGTGGTTTTAGAGCAGTCATGCTCAATAGCTGAAGGGAATCTTGAGGCCGTGGACCATAGTGCGAAAGCTGAGAAGAAGAAGCGCGTGGAAGAAGCGTGTGACCGTCGTGACCGTCACGCGCTTCTTGAGCTTATTTTCAAGAGTCATGGCTCGGGGACTTTTTTTCTCCTACTCGTTTCTCTTTCCTTCTACTTCCACCTGCCTCTCTTTCCTCCCTCTTTTCTCGTCCGCTCCCATGTCCCTCGAAGTCGCCACTGGTTCCGGCACGTCGTCATCCAACACTTACGACTATGCCTCCGGGACGGGCTCATCGTCCTCGGAGTCGTTGATGGAGCCCAGAATTGCTCGAGTGCGTTTCTGCCAGCGACGCAGGCACTTTATGACTCATCACAACTAACAGCCATATCATTCTGCCCAGCCGTCCCCAATCACGGTGAAGATAGCGGTTTATCCTTGGATGGCGGGCATCTATGGCGTGTACGACTTTGACCTCGACCGTTACTCGCCGACCCTGCACGCATCGGCCTTGGACCTGGACTACTTCGAAATCAATCCGGTTCCTTGCTCCCAATGCCCCAAAATGGTGGACACTCATCCCTCTCTCCCGGACCACTGTTTCACCATCCTTCTGGACTGTCCTCACTCCCCGATGGACCGTATTCGCCCCGAAAATAAAGCAATCCAGCACATCTTCGACCGTATTTGCTGCCCGTTGCCTGTCTGCCGCGGCATGGTGGTTGTCATCAAGCACCCTCGCTCGCAAAACAGCGGCATCTTGAACGCGGACTTGCCAGTGACGAATATGACGAAGGAGGACCTCCCAGCGGTCCAGGATATTCTTGTGCGGTGAGTTCTGGTGTATTTCGTTGAATTCTCTATCTAAATAGTTTCCCAAGACAATTGTCTGCCATGAGTAAGACAACGAAGGGTCGTCCTTACTTCATGTCGACCGAGGAGGCTCAGAAGCTTTGGCACGCGTCGCCCAACCCATCCATGATTGGGTCGCTCTCCTGGTCTCAAAATGCTCCTGCAAGCACGTCGACGGCTGCACCCACACGCCCCGCCCCCGCCCTGGCCAGTGCCCAGGCCACCACCAGTGCCGGCACCCGTGCATAGAGCGAACAAAAGTGTTCCCGTCTGGTTTGCTTGTTTCGTTTGCTTGTTTGTCTACTGCTATTAGTACCGCTTGTTGTGCTTGTCTTGTATCGTCTGTGTGCCCAAGGACTCTCAAAACATCTGTGTAGCGTACCTGTCTTGTATCTGCCTGTAACTACTTGAATCTAACCCGTAAAAAAAAGAATTTTCACTTAACTTCTGAGAATCATTGACGCTGACGTCATCTGATGAAATCTAATGCCGCTCATCCACCATCGACTAAGTATTAGCCTGTTTGGCCTTCCCTTTGCTTCTCCTTAACCCCCTCATCTGCGCACTCATGATGAATGGCCAACGTCCCGTCTATCTACTCTGCCAACCGCCATTCTATCCCGACCCCGGTCGTGCTTATCGAATCGAGGATCCTTTTAGCAATGGCGTGTTGGCTGTGGTGACCAAAGGATGTAAACCTGGCATTTATACAAGCCCGTACGGTCATTTTGAAATCTACTCGTCATGTCAAGAGCTTACCCCCTCTTTAGCGACTCTGCACGCGCTGCGAATGGACATGATGGCTAGACCTGGCACCTTTGCTGGACTTGGGCAGAAGCTTTGCAGCTGTGGGCCTCTGTGTGCGCCTATGAGCACGAAGAGCATGCGATAACAGACCCGGCGGTTATGTTTGCTGTTGGGCAAACTCCTCAGCCTCCTCCTGTCAACAGTCCATGGCCATCCCCCAGTGCTTCTCCCACTTGCGAGAAGTCATCTGTCCTGTTTTCGCCTAACCCATTTCCGGTTTCTGACGGCGAGCTCGTGGAGCAATTGAAGCGAGTTGCTGCTGCCCAGTCTGCCAACGCGTCTACCAGTAGCGCGAGCGCTGACTTGAGCGCTGACAATTCGCTGGAAAACACTGACAGCTCTTTCGACTCGAATATCACGGACAGCTCTTTCGCCTCTTTGGGCTTCGCCAGCTCTGTCGCGTCGTCATCACCAAGAGCCTCACGACCTCTATCTCCCGCTCCAGCCTCCTCGCCAGAACCCTCTGAAACCATTCCCTTGCTCATTCCACGACATCGTCTCGGCCAGGGCGATCACAAACCTCGGTTCTGGACTATCGAGCACAAGGGCTTGATGCTCCCATCGTGGTACGTCTGCTATTTCTTTACCTTGCACAGTGGATCTAAGTTAAGTCAATAGGGACCACTTAGCGACTTATGTTCAAGCACCGCACGAGTGGGGGCGCTATGCGCGTGCGCATGGCTCAGACAACCAGAGGCGCATTGCTGCATGGGCGTATAGTTTGCCTTTCACTCCTGCAGCCCCTGGTGAATTCGGGCATGTGGCCGACGAAGAACTCAAGCCTGATCGGGTTCCGGACCAAATTATCGAGTTTTTTGCGTAGAAGCGGTGTCCAAATGCAGAGAAAAGATTTGGAGTAGATTTCTTGACTAAATGTGATACAGGTTTTGGTCTAGTACTTG